TCCAATGGATTTCCTATCGTCGTGCGTCCTCGATGTATTCGTTTCGCGGTGCGTTTCTGATGTATTCTCAGTGTGTTCCCACTTGAATTCCTATTGTGGCTCTCTTGTCACCTTCTTGTGTGCCTATCGTATTACGTTTACACTGCATTGCATTCACGCCCGAGCCCGAACCCGATCCGTTACCCTTCATCATTGATTCTCAGTGGACACGGAGGTGACGTGTTACCCGGGTATTAGTGGTCGTATTAGTAGAAGTAGTAGTAGTAGTAGTAGTAGTAGTAGTAGTAGTAGTAGTAGTAGTAGTAGTAGTAGTAGTAGTAGTAGTAGTAGTAGTAGTAGTAGTAGTAGTAGTAGTAGTAGTAGTAGTAGTAGTAGTAGTAGTAGTAGTAGTAGTAGTAGTAGTAGTAGTAGTAGTAGTAGTAGTAGTAGTAGTAGTAGTAGTAGTAGTAGTAGTAGTAGTAGTAGTAGTAGTAGTAGTAGTAGTAGTAGTAGTAGTGGTAGTAGTAGTCGTAGTAGTAGTAGTAGTAATAGTAGTAGCAGCAGTAGTAGTAGTAGTAGTCGTAGCAGTCGTAGCAGTCGTAGTCGTAGTCGTAGTCGTAGTCGTGGTCGTGTCGTAGTCGTAGTCGTAGTAGTGGGAGTAGTCGTAGTAGTAGTATTCGCAGCAATCGTAGTAGTAGTAGTAGTAGTAGTAGTAGTAGTAGTAGTAGTAGTAGTAGTAGTAGTAGTAGTAGTAGTAGTAGTAGTAGTAGTGGTAGTAGTAGTAGTAGTAGTAGCAGCAGCAGCAGCAGCAGCAGCAGTAGTAGTAATAGTAGTAGTAGTAGTAGTAGTAGTAGTACTAGTATAAGTAGTCGTAGTAGTAGCCGTAGCAGTAATCGCAGAAGTAACAGTAGTAGTAGTAGTAGTAGTAGTAGTAGCAGCAGCAGCAGCAGCAGCAGTAGTAGTAGTAGTAGTAGTAGTAGTAGTAGTAGTAGTAGTAGTTGTAATAATAGTAGTACGAGAAGTCGCAGTCGTAGTCGAAGTAGAAATGGTAGAAGGTGTAGTCGTGGTAGTCGTAGTTGTAGTACGAGTAGTAGTAGCAGTGGCAGTAGTAGTAGTAGTAGTAGTAGTAGTAGTAGTAGTAGTAGTAGCAGTAGTAGTAATTGTCGCCGTGACCGTATTAGTCGTCGTAGTCTTGCTAGTCGTAGTCGTCGTCGTAGTAGTAGTGGTAGTCATCGTGGTAGTAGTAGTACTAGTAGTAGTCGTAGTAGTAGTAGAAGTAGTATTAGTCGTAGTAGTAGTAGTAGTAGTAGTAGTAGTAGTAGTAGTAGCAGTAGTAGCCGTCGTAGTAGTAGTAGTAGTAGTAGTAGTAGTAGTAGTAGTAGTAGTAGTAGTAGTAGTAGTAGTAGTAGTACAGTAGTAGTCAGTAGTAGTAGTAGTAGTAGTAGTAGTAGTAGTAGTAGTAGTAGTAGTAGTAGTAGTAGTAGTAGTTAGTAGTAGTAGTAGTAGTAGTAGTAGTAGTAGTAGTAGTAGTAGTAGTAGTAGTAGTAGTAGTAGTAGTAGTAGTAGTAGTAGTAGTAGTAGTAGTAGTAGTAGTAGTAGTAGTAGTAGTAGTAGTAGTAGTAGTAGTAGTAGTAGTAGTAGTAGTAGTAGTAGTAGTAGTAGTGGTAGTAGTAGTAGTAGTAGTAGTAGTAGTAGTAGTAGTAGAAGAAGTAGTCGTAGCAGCCGTAGTTTTAGCCGTAGTAATAGTAGCAGCAGCAGCAGTAGTAGTATTATTGTTATCATTATTACTAGTAGTGATAGTAGTCGGAGTAGTCGTAGTCGTAGTCGTAGTAGTAGTAGTAGTAGTAGTAGTAGTAGTAGTAGTAGTAGTAGTAGTAGTAGTAGTAGTAGTAGCAGCAGCAGTCGTAGTAGTAGTAGTAGTAGTCGTAGTCGTAGTCGTAGTCGTAGTCGCAGTCGTGGTTCAGTTGCAGTCGTCGTTTGGTTCGTGGCAGTAGTCGTAGTCGTAATCTCAACGTTATTGGCAGCAACATTCGTCCGCCTACCTCCGCTTGCGGGGTTTGAGCAGTCGTGTGGCATGATTGGATTCCTCCCTGCCCCCTGCTACCCATTTCCCCTTCTCTTGGGGTCCGATCTCTCGTTAAAAGAGGGTTGTGGTGGGAGGGTCTGCATGCGAACTTGCCAACCCACCTTCAGGGGCCTCAGGGGCCTCCAAATCCACCCTCTTTGCTTCCACGGTTCTCAACGCATCTTCCAACACGGCTCAAGAAGAGGGTGATCCGGAGGATGATGAGGAAGACGAGGAGGACGACGATGATCGGCGCCACCCCAACATACTTACACTATATGTGCGTCGCCCCCCCCCGGGGGGCGAAGCGCGCACCGAGGGACCTTGCAGTATATGCGTCGTGGCGGGCGCTTTCTAGCCACACCGCTCGGGAACATATATACTACACTATGGGTATACTGTATGTTTGGGTCGGACGCGCGCATCCAAAGAGAACATATAGTACTAGTATGTCTTTGTGCGTCCCAGATGATGATGAGGAGGAGGACGAGGAGGAGGAGGCGGAGGAGAAGGAATAGGAGGACAATCGGGATCTCCCCCCCGCTCGGGAGGCTGACTGGCAAAGATGGCCCCATGCCTTACGAGACGTGCAGGGACTTCAGCGTGCCCCTCAAGGTCGGCTTTGAAATAACGGAAGGGGGGGGGGAACGGTGGAGAAGGAGAAGGAGAAAATGGCGAAGGAGGTAGAGACAGAGGAAGAGGACATGGAGGAGGAGGAGGAGGAGGACTAGTAAGTACGAGGAGGAGGGCGAGGAGCAGCAGGGAGGAGTTGGATGATGATTATGAGGAGGAGGATGAGAAGGAGGAGGGGGAGGAGGAGGAGGAGGAGGAGGAGGAGGAGGAGGAGGAGGAGGAGGAGTGTAAACCCAACGGTCGCCAACGACGTTGGAATCCACCCTCCCTTCAAGCTCCTTCTTCATGGGCCCGTACAACGTTTCATTTCCACAGAGGGACCTGCCTCGTCCGAAGACATCCGTTTGAAGACCATGAAGCATGCCAAAACATTGTTCCCGCTATTCCAACGCCACGGATATACTTGACTATTGCGTTTTGACGATCCTGAATCGTGCCAGAACGCCGTTCCTGGGAATACCGCGAATCATCGTAACTGTTGCGCCCCCATAATCGCGAACCCTTCTAGAACATCATTTCTGCTACGCCCATCGTGGAAAATCGTGAAGCGCTTGTAGATTGTTAAACAAGAATGTGCGCGGTGCTACGGCGAACGCCACATTTTGAAAAGGAACCGCCTTCAATGCGTGAAACTCTTGCAAATTCTGAAAACGGATGCGCGCGGCGCTGAGGCGAGAACCACATTTTGGAAAGGAGCCGCCCTCAATCCGTGAAGCTCTTGCACATGAAACGAAAGTACGCGGCGTTACGGGCGAGAGCCACATCTTGAAATGGAGCCGCCTTCAATCCGCGAAGCTCTTGCAATTTTTGAAAACGAATGTGCGCGGCGTTAAGGAGAGAGCCACGCTCTGAAAACTAACTGCCCCCAACCCGTGAAACTCTTGCACATGTTGAATACGAATGTGCGCGGCGTTGAGGCGAGAACCATTTTGAACACCAACCGCCCTCAATCCGTTAACCTCTTGCTAAGTTTGAAAAAGAATGTGCGCGGCGCTAAGGCGAGCGTCACATTTTGAAAACCACCCGCCCTCCATCTCTGAAGCTGTTGCCAATTTTTGAGTTCAGGGTCATACGTGGTGAAGAAGTCTCAGGCGAAACGCCCAGCCCGCCCTAAAACCGGCCTCGGGGTGCGACAGGGAGAAGTTGTTGATAAAGAGAAGGAATGAAGGAGGAGAGCGCGAAGCATTATAAGAACACCAATGCCAACCATTAGCCGACAATTCCGAAGACGATGGCAACGACGAGTTCCAACCATTACTGAAGACACGCAGCAGAAAGAGCCACCACGAACTACTTCGTGCACGAACGCCTTCACAACATGACCCGCCAACCGCGTAAGTACTCAGCGCAGAAGTGCAGATATGCAAGCAAGGCGAGACAACCAATGAGCGCATTGACAGAAAGTTCGTCTACGTCTCCTTACAATGTGGCTATGAATACCTACCAGCCCCTATAACACGAGGGTGGACACGCACAAAAAGAGAACCCCACACCACGGTTGCCTACCTACCCGACATTAACATACATTATGCCACGTTCTTACAAGACAAACTGTAGCAGACACCCCAGGAATGGCTAACACATTGCTTGTGCTCCAGCACCGTCACACGTTGGTCGGAACGACCCGCCACAATTCCATACCACAGACGAGCTGAGTACCGCAGAGGCAAGCAACCTTTCACGCAAGACGACACCACCGAACCTGACGTTCGACGCCGCCCACTCGTAACCATGTCTTGCGACGACCTCATCAACGACATTGGCCGCGACATGGTGGAGTTACGTTGCCTACACTTGACTCTTTACGTCACAGAGAGAAGCCTGAAATATACATTCTACAATACCTACTACCCACAATAAGAAAACATGTACGAGTTCCAGATCGACGAGAATTGTGGTATCCAGGCCAAGTTCACCACCGACCGACCACAAGACCACCTCCCCCAGCTGCATAACCGACTCACAAAACAACATCGTAGCAGGCTTCGAGCAGTGTCACTCACTAGCCTTCTAGCCGACGTCCTACACAATCGAGGTGCATCTACACTTCGCTCGCCTTGGGCCACATGCGTAGTGGAAAGGAACCGCCGACATATCGCACCACCGCCCACGTACGAACGACCTGACTGCGTCGAGCTACAAGACGCCTCGGGCTACGAATGCTAGCTGCTTGATGCATGGGCTGACTCAGCACGAGAACCACCGACCCACTTTCCACGTCAACAACCACTTCCACCTCCCACGTACTTTGACCTGGCAGCACCTACAGCTGCCAACCCCATGTGGCCGCAAATGATCGGTCACGTGGCCCCGACACCGATCGCCGAACTACACTTTGGCACGCGCCATCTCAAGCAGCGCCGCAACGCCGACTACATGCGCCCTGCGAATGCGCTCGAGCAGCCGCGCCCTGGCGGCCCACGTTCCACGTTTCGACCGCCAAGGAACATCGGCACCAAGAACGGCAGTACCATGGCCGCGAGCGTCGGGCACAACCACCCACGCCACAACTTTGTTCAAGGAGAAGTAACACATTTACGCATCGCAGAGCAAGAACAGTACGACAACGACAACAGAGCACGTTCACTATGCACTGGACACATACAACCAGTAGCACCGCAGCAACACATCCCATGCATCAGCTTCAGTCCCAAGGAACCACGCGGTCAACCACCGAGCGCAAGTTACGAACCCACGCCAAACTCCCAGGCGAAAGTGCCTAAACCTCCGACGCAGACAGCGCCGCGGCAGCAGCCGCTCCCGCCTGCGCTCCATAACCCATGGGGCCCTGTCATCGACGCTGCAGTAGACATAAGTGTCGACGGCGCGTCCGACCTTGACGGTGGCGCAGACGTGCGACGCATGGGGCAAACTGGACGACGCCGCGAGCACGCGGGAGTTCTACCGCACATCGCTGGCGCCCCAACAAGGACATGACATGCGCTGCCCCGACGGCCGGGCCGTGCGCGCGCGCGACGCCAGGGGCGCGGGCGCCGACGGCTACGGCGACGACCGATGGCATTGCGCCGTCGATTGCCAAGAATCTACAACCATCGACGCTTACCCAGTCCCAAACGACCACCTGCTCTTGCCAGGGTGGCACAGGTACCTTTGCGGGTGCAACGACGACCTTTTCATGCGCTAGGACCGGCGACAATGCCCGCCGCATCCTCCGCAGCGGCCGGGCCCGCGCGCAGCCCCGCTCGATTTGCAAATTTCCACCCGCAGGACAAACGCAATGCATGCCGACGCGCGCCTTCCGCCTTGCATGCCCACGCCCAAACGCGCGCGACTCCGACTCGGTCACGACGCGGCAGCATTTGCCGGCCATTTTCGCACCGACGAAGCATCCAGAGCCGCTGTAGTCGTCGCCGACGGCCACTTCCACTCAGCATCCACAGGCGGCCCTCCCCCCTGAACCGCCGCCGCGCGCAGGCCGCCCAGGAGGCCTCGCAGTGGCCCGGCTCATGCCGCGACGACAACGGCCACATGTGCTGCGACTGGCCAGTGCGCGCATGCGAAACAACGTCGCTCTTGCAGACATGGCCGACGCGCGCTCGCGCGCGCCAGCTCGGGCGACGGCGACGGCGCGACCGTGGCCCGCGCGACAAACGACAGCGACAGATGCGACGCGCGACCGGAATCGCCGCGCCCTCGCCAATGCTACCTGCAACAAACTAACCGCCTCAGCGACGGCCGACACAAAGCTCCACTACCGACTCGGCAACGCCTGCGCCAGAAGCACCGCCTGCAAAAGCCAGCGCCATCTGGGCGCCGCTGGCGCGCCGCATGACGCCTGTGCACACGCCGCCACCAGTTCGCATAATCCCATTGCTTGCCCGCCATGCGAGGGCCCCAGGGCACAGGCTGCCGCGGGAGATCCCCATCGGGGGGCTAGCGCCACAGGCCGATGCTACCGCGCAGGCTTAATCCCCGGCCAAATCTCCACCCGGTACACGAGCGCGCGCAATTAAGAGGTCACCCTCGTTGACCGACATCGCGTAGACCGCTCCTTCGTTCGGGGCGGCGTCGGCGACCCGCGCTTTCTCGCGCGCGCCGCCGCCGTGCGAACGCACCGAGCAATGCGCGAACGATGCCTCGCAGAAGTCCGCGCCCGCAGCCTTCAACGCGGCGCCCCGCGCGCGCGCCCGCCTCGCCGAGCGCGGGCGCCACTAGTCTTCAAATCGCCGCCGAAACCCAAGCAGCACCAGATCCACCCGAGCGACGGAGACATCGCATGCGTGGTGATACGCGAGCGACGCTACAATAGACCGCGCGACGCTACGATGGTCGCCCACGGGTGTATCTAACAAGACAAGGGATTGACTTGGGCACGTGGCGGCGTACACTGCGCGCTCTGCCCCGGTGTCGGAGACCGCAGAACACCAATTGCGGGCGTCCTCCCTCTCTACCTCGCGTTTCCTTCATCCGTTCCTGTTGAATTCATCGTGGCCGCGCCTCAGCCAGCAGGTCAACGTGCCGGGCCAGTGACGTAGTCGCCCCTTGCGCGCATTGCCCATTCGCCAGTGAACATTGATATAATCTGGCCTGACGTAGCAAGTCCTAGAATTACGCGGCGGGGTGGCAGGCCAGGGGGGGTCGGGCGGGGGCGGAAGCGCGCTGGCGCATCTGTTCGGCCCCGCTTTGCTAATTAACCCAGCTTAGGCAGCCGCCCGGCACAACTTTCATGCGCCCTGCTCCGCGCCTCGGACTTCTGGGCACTTACGTTCATGGTAAAGCACGTGGGCCCCGTGCCGTTGCGGCGCGGGGTGAACCGAACATCCGGAGTAACAGCCCAAGTATCGCAGTGTCTAAGTGACGCGTCCTAATATTTTTTGGCAGCCTCATATTTGACGCGCCGAGGCCAGCTTGCGCCGCTGACCAGGCCGCCAGTCGGTAGCTCGTTTCAATGCCTCACTTGCAATTGAGATAGGTGCTGTCAGCCACCAGGCCAGCCAGCGCTAAATGTGCTAGCCTTTTACCGTCCAGCTGCTACCCGCAGCTAGCACGCAGCTCTTACTTCTCATCCTGATATGCCTGACTCTGACGGTGGAGGGCATGGTGATGGGTTCAAGTATGCATGTAGCATTGTATCGCATTGTGCTCGCACTTCTTATTGTAGCCCAGCCTGTTCGCCTGGCGCCGCGCGCCGCTCAAGCCAGCCTCGCAGGTCGCCCTTTTCTGCGGGGCCCTACGGTGGCATCCGCGGTAACCCACCTTGGGTCTCCGAGCGAAAGCCCCCCCCGCCCCCAGGGGCCCTGCACCGCCCGACGGGCCGCGCTTGCAAGCGGCGCGCTTTTCCATGCCCAGCCGATGCCTCGCAGCTGCGTGCGCATTGCGCATCTCTCAGCCTGATTTGTCTGACGCCAATACTGGGCGGTGTTGGGTGTGGCGGGTCTGCGTGGCGGGGGCGGGAGCTCGCGCGGCAATCCGCCTCGGGTGTCCGAGTGCCCTCCCCCCCCCCTTGCGGGGGGCATTGCGCCGCCGGGGGGGCCGCGTGCAGCAACCCAACTTGGGTTTCTGAACGCAGGCCCTCTCCGCTCAATGGCTCTGTGCCGCCCGGGGAGCTGCATTTTGCAAGCGGCGCGCAGTTCTTACCTCTTGCTGCCACGCCGTAGCTGTGCGCGCATTGCCTTGCTCTCTTGGCCTGACGTGCCTGACTCTAATCTTGGATGATAATGCGGGTTCAGCCTAATCTTGTCTTGCTCTTGCCCGGCTTGTTGCGCGCCGCCATGCCCGCGCCGCATAGGCCAGCCTAGCAGGCCAGCCTTGCTGTTGGTAGCCGCCCGACGCCGCTTGCCTCTTTTCTTCGTCTTACTGTAGCCCGGCTTGTTTGCATGCCGCCTGTCTGCGCAGCTCTTTACACGTGGCTAACCTCAGCCTGGCCTACCTGACTGTTCATGGCCTTGTGGATAGAGGGGTGCGTGGGGGGGTGGGGTGGGGGGGGGGGAGGGGGGGCACATGTGGCGCTTGCTCGGTGGCGGGGGCGGGGGCGCGTACGGAGACCCACCTTGGATCTCAGAGTACAGGCCCTCCCTGTTCAGGGGCCCTGCGCCGTCCCTGGAGCCGCATATCGTTGAGCAACCTCGCAGTTGCGTGCTTCGCCTACCTCCCAGCCTCTTCTACTCTAGGCTAGGCATAGTCGTTCTTTGCTCGCATTGCCCGCGCCTCAGCTTGTTGCATAACGTCGCATTTACACCGCGCAGGCCAGCCTATCGGGCCAGCCTTGTCTTTGGTTGTCGGCTGGCACCACTTTTTTACATTGCATACCCTCGCGCTTAATTTGCACCATTGCCAGAGGCAGTCCGTGCCAGCGATCTTGGGATCGGGGCGTTGCGACGGCAAAGGCGGGGGGTGGGTGGGGGGCGGAAGTTTTTTACCTAGGTACTCAGCTGCCTCGGATCTACCGGGCGCCTGCTCTAGGTGCCCAACTTTGCGGCATGTCTGTTTTTACTGCTTTTGCCGCGGCGCCCGCCACGTGCTGCGCCAAATCCTGCACCAACACTCTCACCACTTTTTTTGTTGTTAGCGCCACAGCTTTCTGGGTCAGTTTGGTCTACCGGTTCACAGAAGAAGGGAGGATGAGGAGGAAGTGGAGGAGGAGGGGAAGAGGAGGAGGAGGAGGAGGAGGAGGGGGAGGCGGACCAGTGGAAACCCAAGGTCATCAACGATGTTGGATCATACCCTCCTTCCGCGCTCCGTCTTCATAGGGCCCTACAGGGGTGAATTCATTTCCATTGAGGGAACTGCCCCGTCGGGGGACAATCGTATGAGGATCCTCAAGCGTGCCAGGAACACCATTCTGACGATCCCAACGCCACGATTCAACTTGATTTGCCTTGTGACAACCTGGACTCGTGCCAGAATACAGTTCCTGGGACTTCAGCACCGCGAGTCAATGGAACTGTTGCGCCCTGACAGTCCTGACTCGGTCCAAAACACCGTCTCTGGTACGTGAACAATGAGATCCCGTGAAACTTGTGCACCGAAAACAACGACTATGCGAGGCGCTACGGCGGGCGCCGCAGTCTGTGCAATCATTGAAAAGGTTGCTAAGTTTTGACATCGAGTGCGCGCGGCGCCATGGGGAGAGAGCCACATTTTGAAAACCACCCGTCCTCAATCCGCGAACTTCTTGCACCTTTTTACAACGAATGCGCGCGGCGTTGAAGCGAAAACCACATTTTGAAAACGAGCCGCCTTCAATGAGTCACGCGCGTTAGAAGTTTTCAAACGCATGTGCGCGGCGCTAAAGCGAGAGCCACATTTTGAACACCACCCGTCCTCAATCCTTGAAGCTAGTGCGTTTTTCTTAAACGCATGTGCGCGGCGCTACGGTTAGAGCCACATTTTGAAAACGACCCGCCCTCAATCCGTGAGACGCCTGTACATGTTTGAAACGAATGTGCGCAGCGCTAAGGCGAGAGCCACATATTGGAAGCGACCCGCTTTCCATCCGTGAAACTGTTGCCAGTTTCTAGGCTTGAGACTAATAAGTGGTAAAAGTGGTTTGATGCGAACTGCCCGACCCGCTCTTCCGACTGTCCTCGGGATGCGACAGGGCGGAGTTATTCATAAGGAAAAGGGAATGGAGGAGGAGGAGTGGGAGGAAGAGGAGAAGGAGGAGAAGTCGAAGCAAGGATGTTGGTGCCGAGAATGGTGAGAATGATTCTGATGATGATGATGATGATGATGATGATGATGATGATGATGATGATGATGGTGATCGTGATGATGATGATGCTGATGATGGTGATGATGATGATGATGGTGATGCTGATGCTGATGTTGGTGCTGATGCTGATGATGACAATGGTGATTGTGCTTATGGTGATTATGATGAGGCTGGTGGATGGTGATGGTGATGAGGAGGAAGACGAGGATGATGAAAAGGAATCTGGTGATGATGAGGGGGAGGAAGAGGAGGATGAGTAGGACACCGACAAGGTGGGTGACAAATTGGAGTTCAAGATCGGTGAGGCCACCACAGGGACCTTCGCCGTGTCCGAGCTGCCAGCCAGCGACTCGGTGCTGCTGCTGGTGGTGCACCGGAGGGGAGGGGAAGAATTAGGAGACTGGGGCATCGAGACGGTCATGGCGAGAGGGGGGGGGGGAAAATGAGGAGATATGGACGGATAGTGAAAGCAGGCGGGTGATGATGAGGACAGACAGACATGAGCCATAGACCGAAGCCGTCTGGCAGAGCACAAGGAACGGAACGATACATCAGAGTGCGATAATCGCATCTCGGCACTTGGCGAGCTCTGTGTCGGGCATGGTTTAAACGTTGCCGATTGGTCCTGAAAACTTTTGAATTGATAATGCAAGTCATAGCCACTGGGATGCCACAGGTTTACGATGGCCTTGCACCTTCATCCTGTGTGATGACGCGTATGCGTATGATGACGATGATGATGGTGACGATTTGGTGATGACGATGATGCTGATGATACTGTGGTGTTGTCCATGATGATGGTGGTGAATCGGCTGATGATGGTGGTGGTGATGGTGATAATGAAAACATCGGTGATGTTGGTGATGACGACGACGTTGGTGATGATATTGATGATGCTGGTGATAACGGTGACGATGATGATGATGACGTTGGTGATGATGATGACGGCGACGACGACGACGGCGAGGTCGGCGACGACGACCATGAATATGATGATGTTGATGGTGATGATGACGATGCTGATAAGGATGATGCTGATGATGATGATGACGATCATGATGCGTATGATGATGATGATAATGAGGATGGTGATGATGCGTATGACGAAGACGTTGATGGTGGCGATGGTGGCGAAGACGACGACGAGTATGGTGATGATGATGCTGATGATGTTGGTGATGGTGATGGTGATGGTGATGTTGATGTTGATGATGATGATGATGATCATGATGCTGGTGATGATGCTGATGATGATGATGATGATGCTGACGATGCTGACGTTTTTGATGATGCTGATGGTAATGATGATGATGATGATGATGATGATGATGATGATGATGATGATGATGATGATGATGATGATGATGATGATGATCATTATGATGACGAGGATTCTGATGATGATGATGATGATGATGATGATGATGAGGATCAGGAGGAGGCAGAGGAGAAGGATGAGGAGGAGGAGGAGGAGTGGGAGGAGGAGGAGCAGGAGCAGGAGGAAGGGGAGCAAGAGAAGGAGGCGGAAGAGGAGGAGTTAGATGAGGAGAAGGATGAAGTGGTAGAGGAAGGTAACATTGCCATCTACGACGTCCTCAGTTCGTTCTCCTGGCGTGCAGTCCTCCTCGTATTTTTAGTATCAATATTATTGTTCCTTTTGCTTTTCTCTTGCCCTCTCTGCTGGCTTGGGCGTCGGGCCACCAGATCCGATGGCCGATTGCCCTCCTGGGCCATCCGGCCTCTGGGTCTGTTTCGGGTCAGTGTTCGACCTGCCTTAGAGCGTTTTTGTTGTTCTTTTCGTTTTTTTGTTTTTGTGTAAACTTTTTGTTTTGGCGTTTTTAGCTCTGAAAGGGAGAACGGCGGTAGACACGAAAACGCTGGAGCGAAAACAGCAGGGACGACATGGCAGCGCCTTCGACCCGAAAGGAACAAGCACACCACAAATGATGATCCACAGCGACGGGCCTAAAAACGATAAGCCAACGAAGCTAAACACGCGAAACAACCGCCGCTTTTTTTTACTATTTGTATTGATTGTTTAGCTTGTCAAAACTCATGGGGCAACATGGTAAAACACGCTCATCTTGTTCGCAGAAGAACCGAGGCGTTGACGGTAATCACGGTAACAACGATGATGATGGTGATGTGGATGGTGATGTTGATGATGAGGATGAGGATGAGGAGGATGTTGATGATGATGACGATGACGATGTTGATGTTGATGAATGGTGATGCTGATGCTGGTGATGATGGTTACGACGATGATCTTGTGACTGTGAGTCGTCAAAGCACGGTGACGGTGATGAACCCGATGATGATGATGATGATGTTGATGATGATGATGATGATGATGATGATGCTCATGATGATGATGCTCATGGTGATAATGATGCTGCTGCTGATACTGATGATCGTGGTGGTGGTTGTTGTTCGTGATGTTGATGGTGATGACGATGTTCATGATGAAATGGTGGTGCTGCTGCTGATGATGCTGATTTTGATGGCAACGATGATGATGCTGCTGATTATGCTGATTATGGTTATAACGATTAGGATGGTGGTGGTGTTGATAATAATGCTGATAATGATGCTGATGCTGATGATGATGGGAATGCGAATGCTGGTGGCTATACTGATGCTGCTGATGATGAGGATCGGTTGATACCGCTGATGATGATGCTGATGATGATGGTGATGGTGATGTTGATGCTGATCATGATGATGATGATGATGATGATGATGATGATGATGATGATGATGATGATGATGATGATGTTGCTCATGATGATGATGATGCTGATGATGATGGTGATGGTGATGATGCTGCTGATGATGATGGTGATGATGATGCTGATGATGGTGATGCTGATGCTGATGCTGATGGTGATGCTGATGCTGATGCTGATGCTGATGACGATGACGATGACGATGACGATGATGATGATGATGATGATGATGATGATGATGATGATGATGATGATGATGATGATGATGATGCTGATGCTGATGATGATGATGATGATGATGATGATGATGATGATGATGATGATGATGATGATGATGATGATGATGATGATGATGATGATGATGATGATGACGAGAGGAGGGAGGGAGGAGGAGGAGGAGGAGGAGGAGGAGGAGGAGGACAGAGGAGGATTGCAGAGGGTATCAGAGATGCATGCTGCTTATCATGGTGGTGGTGATGGTTGCGATGATGATTACTAGGAGGGAGGAGGAGAAGGAGGACGAGGAGGGGAGGGAGGGAGAGAGGGATGCAGCGAGAAGGGGGGTGGGGTGGAGGAAGGGGCATGGCAGAGAGGGAGGAGACTGAGGAGACAGAGGGAGAAGTGGAGTGATAGAGGGATGGAGGGAGAGAGAGAGAGAGAGAGAGAGAGAGAGGGACAGAGACATGATTTGAGACACTGACAGAGCCAGAAACAGAGAGAGATAGAGAGAGAGAGAGATAGAGAGAGAGAGAGAGAGAGAGAGAGACAAAGAGAAAAAGAGAGCGAGAGAGAGAGAGAGAGAGAGAGAGAGATAAAGAGAGAGAGAGAAAGAGGCACAGACAGATTGCGACGCAGACAGAGACAGAGACAGAGCGAGTGATGGGGGGGAGGAGAGGAGGGGGAGGACGCGGCGGACCAGGGCCAGGCACGACCCGCTGAGCACAGCCGTGTCGTTCGAGTCGCACGTCTTCTCCAACATGGAGAGTCCGCAGGCGGCGGCCTCGGCGACTCAGCTACCCCCTGCCTGGGCTCTCGTGGGCCCCCCGCCTCGCTTCCCCCCCTCGCTCCCCTCCCGCTCCCCTCCCTACCTCCCCGCTCCCTCCTCCCTCCTCCCTCCTCCCTTCCCAGCCGCCGTCAGGCTCCAGGGCTTCGTGTGAGGTTCCCGGGGGAACCGCGAGCCCTCCCGGACAGCGGCCACGCGCTGGCCCCCGCGCGCAGCGATCGCGGCGGCCCCGCCGTGCCCCCCGTGCGCCGCCTGGCCTCCGCGGGCCTCGCCACGGCGCGCGGGCGCCGGGCGCTCAGGCCTCTCGAGCCAGCCTGGCGCCGCCGAGCCCGCCTGGCCAGGAGCCAAGCGCGGACTCTGCACCGAGTGCGCGCTGCTGTTCCACTTCTACGGCATCATCACTCGGCTACGGGACCACCAGGGCGCTCTCCGCTCCGTCTCGCCGCCGCCGAGGCCCCAAGGCACGGGACGCCTGGTTTTGCCTGCGGTGCGGGGCTCACAACACAGGACGCTGGTGCGACTACTGCTACCCTTCTCCGTCTCTGGAGTCGCCCCCGTCGGGGTCGGCGGGTACACAGCAGCTGGCGCTCACGCCTGGTCAGAGCCCTGCCGAGTCCGAGCAGTCGCGCGCGGCCCGGGGTGCTTCCAAGCGGCCCTCGAACCTCCCTGCCCAGTCAATCCCGATCAAGATTGCCACGATAGAAGTGACCGAGCAGCACCCCATGTGGGTAGATCCTCCCGCCTCGCTCTGCAGGCGCGGCTGCTCCTCGCGGAGGTCTGCGAGGACTGGCCAGACTTCCACATCGGCGACGTGCTGAAATACCTCGGCGTCCTCTTGGGCCCTGGCGCAGAGCCAGCTTCACAGTGGCAGGCGCCGCTCGCCAAGCTCCGTGAGCGCGTGGGCGAGGCGGCGCGAACCCGAGCTGACACCCACGCCGCGGCCCTGCTGTACGCGAAGACCTGCATCACGGTCCTCAGCTACAAGGCCCAGCCGCTCGAGCCGCCGCCGGGGCTCAAGAATCTGGAGCGGGCCCTGCTGCCGAGGCTCTTCTGGCTGTCTGGCTCGTTCCTCTGCGTCTGGGAGGGGCACGAGCTTGAGTCGGTCGGCGGCCCGATGGTGCGCTCCGCCCTGACCTGGTGCTAGGCCTGCCTCCTCTGCTCGACGACGACGACCTTGTCGTGCTGGCAGGCGGAGGCCGTGGCGCTGCGGATGGCTCTTCGACGCCACCCTCGGAGTCGCGCCGTGGCCATCACGCTCGCGCGAGCGGCGCATCCCGGCGGCGCTGGTCCCTCGGCCCGCGGCGGTGCGCGCCCCACGTGTGGAGACATGCACGCTGGCGCTCATCGTGTGCCCCCGCATCCGGGCGGCGGGGATCGTTCCGGTCTCCGCTGTGGCTGATCGTGGCGGGGGCGAGGGCGGTGAGCGTGGGCCCGAGCTGCAGTCAATTCGCATAGGAATGATGAGCGACCTTCCAAGGCTGCCCTTGCATCCCTCTCCGTCGGCCCATGCTTGGCCACTTTCGCTGGCCAGCCCCGCTCGAAAACCGTGAATACTGCCCTCCAAGGCCCTTGCATCCTTACCGCGCATCCTTATCATACGGGTTGACTATGCCCGCCCGCGGCCCGCGCGTGCGTCCCCCGACAGTCCTCTACTCCTCTCTCCTTCGATCGTCTCTCCCCTTGTCCTTCTTCCCCCCTCTCCTATATCGAAGTCAGGCCACGCGTCTGCATCGCTGGTTTGGGGTCCACCCTGCCGACGCTCCAGCGATCGACTGTTCGGCCGTTGCTTCGGTAATGCATCGCGTCCCCCCCTCCTGGCGAAGTGCTTGCATCAAGACGTGGGGAGAGGGCTGGACAATCGGGTCGAGGATGCGTAGCCCGTACAGGGGCTGCGTCTGGGGATGTCCTGGGGAGCGCGACTCGCTTAAGCACTCTTATCGCGGGTGCTCGCCCATGTATATGCTTGTCCGTTGCCACCTTGGGTGCGATCTTTCGGCGCCCCCAATTTTTGGACCCCCTCCCGGCTCCTGGGCTTATCCGCGCGTCTCCCGAGGCCTTCAGATACACGGCGATGTGCTTCCACTTGTACAAGCTAGCCCACCAGGAGAGTAGAAGTTGCACCTTCCCCTTCAACTAAAATCGATGCCACATCGCGCCCGTGCTGTTCGACCGGGCGGTCCGTCCTCCCCGTCGGTCGTCGTCGTCCGTCCGGCAGCTGGAGGGCTGAGCATATTCAGCCGGCCAGCAGGTTGAGGCAGAAATTCCCGGCTTAGGCTTGTGCCGTCAAACAAGCCACCAGCGTGCCGCGGCATGCTGAGGCCAGTTTCGCTGGCTTGGTCTTCCCCGTCGTCGTCGTGTCGTCGTCGGGCGTGCTCGTGGGGTCTTGGCGGATGGGCGGGCAAGCCCCTTGCCCTGCCCGCGCGGCTTTGTGGGCCGGGAGGGTCTCCGGTTTTCCGGGGGCTCCCCTGGCCCCTTCCGCGCGGGTGTGGGCAAGGGGTTGTGCCTCCCTTTCGCGCTCCCCCCCACGGGCCCGCCACCCGCCTCAGGTGAGGCGCGCGGCTAACTGTTGCTGCATTCGGTCCTGCCCAACGGTTTGCAGAGGAACAACAGCAATCCTCTCTCCCTCCGTCCTTTCCGCTTCCCCCCCCACGCCCCTTCAGCTTTCCCTCCTGCCTGCCCCTCCGCCCCCTGCCCCTCCGCCCCAGAGATGCGGCTGCGATGCGGCTGCTTGCCGGCCAGCCCAGGTTGCCATCATCGACGCCTACGAGGCGGGGCGTGCGCGCTCTGTGTGGAGACCCGGGGGGGGGGGCCAGAGGCCGACAACGCCACGGGACCCCGGAGATCGCAGGAGGGCAGCGTCCTCCCTCCTCCTGCAAGTGTCCCTCAGACATCCCAGTTGGCTCCCTCCTCGCCCGATCCTCCCGTCGTCATCCATCCTGCGGCTCAGGGCTGCCGAGGTGCGGCAGTCACGCGACTGCGCCCATGGAGACACAGAGAGAGAGAGAGAGAAAGAGAAAGAGAGAGAGGGAAAGAGAGAGAGAGAAAGAGATAGGGAGGGAGAGATGGGGAGAGAGAGAGAGAGAGAGAGGGAGGGAGAGAGCGGGGAGGAGTGGGGCAGGGGACCCACTGCCCACCTCTCCTTAGAAAGGCTCAACACCGGGTGGTGGGCTCGCCACGAGGGGCCGAGTCTGCGCTCCTCCCCCCTCTCTCAGAGCCCTGGCATCGCTCGGACGTGTGCATTTTTTCTCGGCGGGGACCATCGAGATGCATCCTGGACCATCGAGCAAAAAAAAACACGCACGAGACCGGAAGAATGCACGGGAAATGGACGTCCGAGCGATGGCAAGGAGCAGGAAGTTGAAGGTAGCGGCACAGCCGGGGGGCGGGTGGGGTCAGTTGCAAATCGGGGGGGCCTTGCGTGTCCTCTGCGCTCCGTCTTCGGAGTGCACTAGCGTTCGCCAGCGCGTGATCATCGATGAGGAAGCGCCTCTCCATCGTCGATGTGTGCCGACATCGGTTAGATGAGCGTCGATTCGCGTCGGTAAGTGTCGCTTCGCACGAGCCAGCAAGATGGCATGGGAGGCTCCCATGAGTTTTCACCGAAGGTGTCTGGGTTCCAGGGAATACCACTGAGCTCCCGAAGGCGCTAGCAGCTGCGCTGTCACTGGAAGCGCTGCGTAGTGCATCTGCGCCAGTCATGGAGAATCCTCGCCTTCAGCAGCTATCAAGAAGCTGGCCCAGCATCCAACCCTCCGCACATGCATGTGGCTGCGCTTTGACCCAGCGTTTGCCTGAAGCTTCCTTGTTGCCAGGAGTTTATCGTGCAGGCATCTTACGCCAACCGTACCTTGGTCACAGTTTTGGCTGCGCTTGGGAACCTCAGAGCCAATTTGCAAGAGGCCACGGTCCACTCCTGTGTCCTTCCACTCCCTGACTTGCCACCTCCCTCGTCCCCTCCTTAGACCCTTCGATATCCTCGGACCCTTCGATACCCGATCCATGGGGCGCGGGAGGAGGAGGAGGAGGAGGAGGAGGAGGAGGAGGAGGAGGAGGAGGAGCAGGAGGATGAGGAGAAGGTGGAGGAGGAGGAGGAGAATGAGGAGGAGGAGGAGGATGAGCAGTAGGACGTTTTTAATTGCAGGTCATGTTACTAAGTGTTTTCAGTCGGTTCTGGCATCTCTAAAGATATAGACTCCCGCGACGCGATGGGGATATTCCCGTAGACACGCTAACAGCCCGTGGTCGCCTTCGCTTCGTTCTTGCTTGAAGGCTTGCCAAGCAAATTCATAAGCCAGGTAGGGTGGGGGCCAGCACAGCTGGGTCCGCGGGGAAAGGTACACTTGTACAGCAATATGTTAATGTTGTGCGCAGTCGTGCGAAACTATCGCAGGGGGGCACGGGCTATTGCGTGGGGCAGCACATCTGGCATCTGAAAACTATTCAGCTGCATCCACGCGCAACTGTTGCATCCAGCCCGGACATCACTGCATCCAGGCAGTTACAAGTTCTACTGCACCTCCTCCCGCGGCCCCACCTGCGCCGTCCCAACTGCTCTGGCTTCAGTGTCATTTGGACTGGGGCAGGCAGGGCACACCGACTGCAGAACGCAACACGAGGCCGTTCCACAAGTTGGTGATCCAGCACATGTGCCTTAAGAGTGCGAACCTGCCCTTCTGTCTACTCTGAATGCCTCGGATTCTGCAGACACCACTCTCGGCTCGCTCGCTGAGTTGGAAGGAGAAAAGGAGCAGCACGGATGAGGCGGCGAAGGAGGATGGGGCGGCGAGGGAGGAGGATGAGGAGGAGGAGGAGGAGGAGGAGGAGGAGAAGGTTGGAGGGGGAGGATGCTCACGCCTGGGCCCCCTGCCCTCCACCTCCTGCCTCCTTCCTCTCTCCTCCCTCGTCGCTTCGAAATCGTTCCCTCCTCCTTCCCTCCTGCTTCCCTCCCTCGTCCCTCCCTCGTCCCTCCCTCGTTCCTCCCTCGTTCCTCCCTCGTCCCTCCCCTCCATCCCTCGTGGCTGCGGGTCGGGCGGGACATTGAAGCGGACAGGCGGGCTTCAAGCAGGTGAGCGGGTGGACCCTAACGGGCGGGTCGGGCGGGCGGGCTCTGACTGGCTGGTAAGGCTTGCGGGCCCTGGCCGGCGGTTCGGTCAAGCGAGGCATTGAATCGAATTGTGCAAATTGCACAGAAGCTTCCAGCCAGAGCACGAGCCCTGAGTCAATCGTGATCAAGTCTCGCGCGAGAGCGCGCTTCCTGCGCGTCGAGGGCGCGGAACATGTATACTTTGCAAGGAAGTCTGGAGCGAGAGCGCGGTACCTGAGTAGTATCACGCGTGAGCCATTGATGAATTCTCATCCTTATATAATTAGTATTGTTGATCCCCCTTCGGTGCCCATGGTGAAGTTCCAATTGAAGCGCCCCTCCCGGGGCTCGCACCTTCGTTTTTAGAAGGGGAAGTCTTGGGGTTCAGACTAATCCCCTGGCCCCCGAACTACAACAACAACGGCTCCCGCCTGATTCCTTTTCACAACTGGGGTTCGCGTATCCCCACCAGCCCATCCAAAACCGACGCCCAGGTGAGTTGAGTCGATCAGGGTTGTGAAGGATCAAAGAGGGGGACAGCCGTCATCGCTCGAGGCAGGAGGAGAAAGAGGAGGAGGTGGAAGGCGCGGAGGAGGAAGGAGGAGGAGGAGGAGAACATGGGTAAGGGCAAGGACGATGAGGAGGATGAGGAGGCGGCAGAGGAGACGGATGAGGAGGAGGAGGAGGAGGAGGAGGAGGAGGAGGAGGAGGAGGAGGAGGAGGAGGAGGAGGATGAGCAGGAGGAGGAGGAGGAGGAGGAGGAGGAGGAGGAGGAGTGGGAGGAGGAGGAGGAGGAGGAGGAGGAGGCGGAGGAGAAAGTGGGGGTGAGGAGGGATGAGGAATGGGCGGATGATGATGCTGATGAGGATGATGATGATGATGATGATGATGATGATGATGATGATGATGATGATGATGATGATGATGTGATGATGATGATGATGATGATGATGATGATGATGCTGATGCTGATGATGATGATGATGATGATGATGATGATGATGATGATGATGATGATGATGATGATGATGATGAGGATGAGGATGAGGATGATGATGATGATGATGATGAGATGATGATGATGATGATGATGATGATGATGATGATGATGATGATGATGATGATGATGATGATGATGATGTGATGATGATGATGATGATGATGATGATGATGATGATGATGATGATGATGATGATGATGAGGAGGAGGAGGAGGAGGAGGAGGAGGAGGAGGAGGAAGGAGGAACTGGAGGAGAAGGAGGTGGAGGGGGGAGGAGAAGGGGGGAGGATGAGGAGGAGAAAGAGGAGGAGGAGGTGGGGGAGGGAGAGGGGGAGGAGGGAGGAGGAGGAGGGCGGAGGGAGGAAGGAGGAGGGGAGGGAGGAGGGAGGAGGGAGGAGGGAGGAGGGAGGAGGGAGGAGGGAGAGGGAGGAGGAGGGGCGGAGGCGGAGGCGGAGGCGGAGGCGGAGGCGGAGGAGGAGGAGGAGGAGGAGGAGGAGGAGGAGGAGGAGGAGGAGGAGGAGGAGGAGGAGGAGGAGGAGGATGTGGGGGAGGGGGAGGAGGGATGGGGGAAGGGAAGCAACAGGCGGCTGATGATGATGAGGAAGAGGAGGAGGAGAAGAAGAAGAAGATGGAGGACAATGGCGAGATTGTGGGCCTCGTGGGCCGTCTTGGAGGCCTCTTGGCGGTCCCGAGGGCCTATTGCGTACCTCGGGGAGCCTTTTTTGGCCTCCTGGGGGTCTCTTGGGCCCCTTTTGGAGGCCTCTTGGGCCCCTCTTGGGGCCTCGTTGGCGCCTTTTGGGGCCCCCTCGGGGCGCTTTTGTTGGCTTTCGAGTCGCTCTGGGGGCTATCTTGGAGAACATCGATCACAGACGGGGATGGTCGCTATTAGCCCACCCTCCCCCTCGGGAGCCCCACACATCGCCTCTTGTGACGCTCTTGGGGCGCTCTTGGCGCGCTCTTGGGCGCTGTTGGGGCCGTCTGAGTGCTCTCCGGGGCCTCTCTTGGAGCCCTCTTGGGCCATCTTGGAGCCATCTTGAGGCCTCGGATGGCCATCGGAATCGAAAAGGCGAGAACGCAAACCACATTGCTTTCCTACGTTTTTGTAGGATGTTGGCCTCTTCGGGGCCTCCTTCGCGAGCTCTTTGGCTAGAGCCGTCTTGGGGCGGTCTTGGGGCCTCTTGGAACATCTTGGAAGCCATATTGAGGCATCTTGGGCTATCTTGAGCCATCTCGGAGGCTATCTTGGGCTCTCCGAGGCGCTCTTGGAGCCATCTTGGACGCTCCACCCCCTCGCGAACCCCCTGTCCAGGTCCAGGGGAGGGGGTATAGGGGGAGGGGTAAGCCCCTTTCCGACGGGGAAGACGGGGGTTGGACGAGGAACCTCCCTAGACCACCTACGCCGAGAGGGCTGGTGGGATGCATGCAGGGCTCGCACTTTCGCGTGTGACTTCCTCGCATTTGATTCAGACGCCGCGCCCTCGACACTCAGGCGTCACTTGAGAATCGCGCTATCGCTCGGCACTTCATCGCGGTTCATGCAGGACTGACGCTTCAGCGACCCGCCCGCTCGACCTGGTCGTCTTTGGCTCGCCCGCCCGACCCGCCCATCAGGGTCCGCCCGTCTGGTTATGCCGGTGGTTTTCTTCTCTTCAACCCCCTCCTGCTAATCCCTGTCGTTCTCCATCCGTCTCCCTCCCCCTTGTCCCTTCCCTCCTCCCTCCCCTGCCCTGTTTTAGGGGCTGCGCCAACCACACGTGGCAGGTAAGGAACAGATCCCCGAGGGGGGCGCGATCGACGATGAAGAGGGCGGGCACCGAGGGTTTAGAGTATGCATTCTGCGCGGCATGCGAGCAGACATGATAGTAGTTGATAGTCTCACCGGTGTCGCTTTTTGTTTATATGTGGGTCTACCTCTTTCTATATGGTATCATATCTCGCTCTCTCTATTTCTCTGTCTCCCTCGTTATATGTATTCATCTGTGTGTCGTATTAAGTAGGTTTATATCTACGCATATGACTGTATTCCTCTCTCTCTCTCTCTTTATTTTCCTCTCTCTCTCTCTCTTTTTTCTTTTTCTCTCCTTCATCCTCCTCCTTCTCGCGCCCTCGTCAGGGCAGCGCGAAGGGCAAGGCGGTCATCTCTGACGCCCAGGTGAAGGGTGGCCCACCCGCCCGCCGCGAAGAGCTCCGCTACAGCAGCGCAGTGGCCTCAGAGCCGATGCCCATGCTGACGTCTTGATGATGTTGATGGTGATGGTGATGGTGATGGCGATGATGATGGTGATGGTGATGATGATGGTGATGATGCTGATGATGCTGATGATGATGATGATGATGATGATGATACTGATGATGATGGTGATGCTGATGCTGATTATGATGATGATGTTGATGCTGACGGTCATGTTGAAGATGAGGATGTGCATGATGATGATGATGATGATGATGGTGGCAATGGTTACTCCGTGGACGGTGATCAAAGTGTGGTCCGATGATGATGGTGCTGCTGCTGCGAATGCTGCCGATGCTGCTGTTTATGTTGTTGATAACGAGGAGGAGGAGGGCGAGGACGACCACAATGAGGAGGGACGATGATGATGCGGTTGTTCATGATGATAGTGATGGTGATGATGCGTACGTGTGCTGGTGCTGGTGGTCATGGTGATGACGGCGACGGTAAGGATGATTCTGTGGAGAAAAGGACGCAGTGCGAGATGCTGAAAAGATTGAAGACGAGGAAATTGAGACCAGCCCGCAGCGGAAACATGCGCGATATGGACGTGGACGGCGACAATGACAATGTCGACTCTGAGTATGACGACGATGATGATGATGATGCTGATGATGATGATGATGATGATGATGATGATGATGATGATGATGATGATGATGATGATGACCATGATGACCATGATGGTGATGCTCGTGTCGAGGATTTCGATCTACGGAGACAGATGAAACGATGACGGCAATCACGGTGATGATGGCGATGATGATGATACTGGTGATGATGTTGATGATGATGATGCTGATAGTGTTGATGATGATGACGATGGTGGTGATGGTCATCATGTTTGTGATGATGATGTCGGTGACGATCATGCCGATGCTGATGCTGATGCTGCTGATGATGCTGATGATGTTGATGATGATGACGACGACGTTGATGATGATGTTGATGATGATGTTGATGATGATGCTGGTAGGTGATACTGCTGGTGATGATGCTGGTAATGATAGTGGGGATGATGCTGGTGGTGGTGATGACGATGTTGGCGATGCTGATGATGACGGCGACTATGATGATGAGAACGGCTATGACGACGACTATTATGATGCCCGCTGTGCCGACAGGCTACCCCCTTTGCGCTGACGATGGCAACGATGTTCCCCTGTGTCGAGAAGAGGTCGCGGCAGAGCCTATGACGATGAGGGGATGGTGGTTGTGGCGGTGATGATGATGACGATGATGATGGTGATGGTGATGATGATGATGATGGTGGTGATGATGATGATGATGATGATGATGATGATCATGCTGATCATGCCGATCATGATGGTGACGACGATTACGATGACGATGACGATGACGATGACGATGATGATGGTAGTGATGATGATGATGATGATGATGGTAGTGATGATGATGATGATGATGATGAGGATGATACTGATGATGATGATGATGATGACGATGATGATGATGATTATGATAAGACGAGGAGGCTAATGGTGATGATGCTGCTGATGATGACGATGATGATTATTATGCTGCGGCTGATGATGTATATGATGATAAAGATGCTGATGATGATGCTGAACATGCTTTGCTGATGATGATGATGGTGATGATGCTGATGATGATGCTGATGATGATGATGATGATGATGATGATGATGATTCTAATGATGATGATGATGATGATGATGATGATGATGATGATGATGATGATGATGATGATGATGATGATGATGATGATGATGATGATGATGATGATGATGATGATGATGATGATGATGATGATGATGATGATGATGATGATGATGATGATGATGATGATGATGATGATGATGATGATGATGATGATGATGATGATGATGATGATGATGATGATGATGATGATGATGATGATGATGATTGTTGATGCTGATGATGATGATGATGATGATGATGATGATGATGATGATGATGATGATGATGATGATGATGATGATGATGATGATGATGATGCCACCCGCAGCCCGTCCCCAAGCCACTGCCATTTGACACGCGCTGCTGCCCCGCTGGGTGGTCAGAATTTGGGGCATGCCAGCCCGTCGGATTTGCCGGCCCCAACCTTCCCCCACCCCCTCCTCCCACACTTTCCAATGAAATTGTGAGCTCCGAGATGCCGCGCGCGAGGTTGTCCAGCCCGTTTCGTCTATGACATCCTCCCAACTCGCGATGCATTTCTCGATGCACTGGCGCTTCGAGGCGCCAGGAAACCTAGCTACGTGAATTGACTCGCTGACTTTCCTTTAACTCCCCCCATGTGAGGCCATGGCCTCTACACCATGCTCGAGTAGGAACCGGCGAGCTTCCTGGCGGAGAGCGCATGACTCCGGCGTTCGCTTCCCATCTCAGTGCCCTAACACGCCAGTGTTGAAACGCAACACGTACCGTGTTCAAAACATCTGTGTTGAACATTCTGCGTGTTGGCTCCGCACGTGTTGGCCCACGTGTTGGCGAATGTATTGCGCCGGACCTGCGTTTTCGATCTACCGGTGGAGCCCCGTGTCAACACGCCACGGGTTGCGTGTTGCGAGTCGGGGCAGTCAGGCCCCTTCGCCTCGCCCTGCTGTCCGACCCCGCAGCGGCGCCTAGAATCTAGAAGCCTCGGTCATCGAGCGTCGCGCCTCGCCGCCGGCCGCCAGTCGTCGCGGGCCGCGGCGCCGCTGCCGTCGTCGTCCGAGGTCGTGTCCGTCCTCGCCGGCGAGTACACGGTCGAGCTCGACGGCGCCAAGGGCCCCGAGGCCACGGCCCGCTCATCCGCGCGTCCGTCGCGGCCTGGCGGCGCGGCGCTCGCCGCGGCGCGGCTCTCGTCGAGCCTTCCCGCGGCGGCCGCCGCCGCCGCCGCTGCTGCTGCTCCCTCCGCCGCCCCGCCGCTACTGCTGCTTCCGCCCTCCTGCTCCCTTCCCGCTCCTCCCGCCCCTCCCTCGCCGCTCTTCCCCTCCCTCCCCATGCGGAGGAGGAGGAGGAGGAGGAGGAGGAGGAGGAGGAGGAGGAGGAGGAGGAGGAGGAGGTGGAGGTGGAGGAGGAGGAGGAGGAGGTGGAAGTGGAGGTGGTGGAGGAGGAGTAGGAGGAGGAGTGGAGGAGGAGGAGGAGGAGGAGGAGGAGGAGGAGGAGGAGGAGGAGGAGGAGGAGGAGGCAGCCCTCGACACGGCAGCGGAGTGTGATGCCACGGACCACCTGCCAACGGATCTTATGCGATGCCCTACCTGATCACTCGTGGGTGCCCATCCTGGACTGGTCCGATGCCCTCTTCTGGGACCTTTCAGGGATTTCCGTGTACCTAGGTGTGCTGGGAGCTGTCGCATCATATATTTTGACTTCGAGCGCGGTGGGAGACAACGAGAAGTTGAAAGTTTAACGTGCTCCTCGAAGCGATCTTGGGGGTGTTTGCAGCCTATCTGGCTCAAAAGGGGCTTCGGGTTTCACCAGGCGAGGGCATTATGCTGTCGACCCACCCTGTCTGGGCAGACAACATGTTCATAACTGCTTCCAGCCGGGGCCATTTTCAGACAATGGTTGCCGAGTTGACGTCCCATGCCACCGTCTTCAAGCTGATTCGGAGACGCTCGCCTCTGCAATTCGTGTGCGCGCGTAGCGATGACAACGAAGACGTCCTCAAAGGTGAGTTAGTTCCGTACGATTTGGTTCCGAGCCCGTCATCCTAAAAAGGTATTGAAGATGAGATTTCTCGGTAACTGACCTTTCCGATTCTTTCGGGCCCCACGTGGCGATCGGTCGAGCACGGGCTCCCCAGCCAGACAGCCTCTGCCAATGCTCTCGTCGCCGTTTTCCCTTGCTTCCCATCTAATGCTCCCCCCCTTGCGGTTAATTTCCTCTTACTCTTCCTCCTCCTCGCCCTTCTCCTCCTCCTCCTCCTCCTACTCCTCTTTTTCTTCTTCTTCCTCTTCTTTTTCCTCTCCCTCTCGCTCCCCTCCTCCGCCTCCCCCCCCTCCGACCCCCTCTCTCCATCCCCATCAACCGCCCAATTCCCAGTCTCCACCATCCCCCCAGCCGCCTCCTCCCCTCTTCTCCTCCTCCTCCTCCTCCTGCTCCTCTTCCGTCTCCCCCTCTCTCCCCCCCTCCACCTCGCCTCCCCCCTCCCTGGGAGACCGCGTCGAAGTCTCTGGTTGCCCTGCCGCACGAGAACTACGTCCTGCTGCGGACTGCCAGGGGAGTAGGGGTGCCAGGGGGGGAGGGGTGTGTGAAGACGCTACTTGTTGCCCTGCGGAATACGAAGCGATGATGCTGATAGTGATGAGCATGAGGATGGTGCCGATGACCGTGATGGTGATTGTGATTGTGATGGTGGTCGTGATGGTGGTGGTGATGATGGTGGTGGTCCTGCTACTGATGCTGGTGATGATGATGCTGCTGACGACGACGATGGCGATGATGGTGGTGGTGGTGATGCTTATGCTGACGATGAAGATGATGCTGCTGCTGATGATGATACTGATGATAGTGATGATGATGGTGTTGATGATGCTGACGGTATGGAAGCGGATGAGGATGAAGATGGTACAGGTGATGATGTTGCTGCTGATATTGTTGTTGATGATGGTGGCGACGATGCTGATGATTATGATGATGATGATGATGATGATGATGATGATGATGATGATGATGATGATGATGATGATGCTAATGTTGCTGATGATGCTGATAATGATGCTGCTGATGCTGATGATGATGCTGATGCTGATGATGATGACGTGGAGGAGGTGGCGGGACATGATGGGGCGGATGAGAAGGATGGACCGGGGGGTGGGTCAGCAGCATAAGTCGGAACGGTGATGCTGCTTCTGCTCACGATGATCACGCGGATGACACGGATGCTCCTGATTCTGCTGCTGATCATTGTGATGATATTGCTGATGGTGATGCTGATAATGGCGAGTATGGCTGATAGTGATGGATATGATGTTGCTGCTGATGCTGATCATGGCGATGTTGACTACGATGAGGATGCTGGGGACGATGTTGCTGGTAATGAGGATGATCCTGCTGATGCTGATGGTATTTTTGATGCTGATGCTGGTGATGATTAGGGTGTTAGTGATTCTTGCGATAAGGAGGTGGGTGCGAATGGAGATGCTGATGATCATGAGTTTGTAATGCTTGTGATGCTGCTGATGGAGATGCTGTTCATGATGCTGCTGATGCTGATGACGATGACGATGATGCTGCTGCTGATGATGATGGTGGTGATCATGATGATGTTGATGATGATGGTGATGGTGCTGATGATGCTGCTGATGATGATGATGATGAAGCTGATGCTGATGACGACGATGATGATGACGATGCTGATGCTGATGATGATGACGATGATGATGCTGCTGCTGATGATGCGGACGCTGACGATGATGATGCTGATGCTTGCGATGATGTTGAGGATAATGGTACTGCTGTTGATGCTGCTGATGCTGATGATACTGATGCTGATGCTGATGCTGGTGATGATGGCGACGATGTTTTTTTAATGCTGTTGATGGTGCTGATTGTAATGATAATGATGGTGATGCTGATGCTGCTGCTGCTGATGATGATGGTGCTGCTGATGCTGATCATGATGCTGGTGTTGATGATGCGGATGGTGCTGGTGGTGATGATGGTTGTGAGGGTGGTGGTGATGATGGTTTTGAGGTGGTGGTGGTGATGATGATGACTTTGCTGATGTTGATGATGGTGATGGTGTTGGTACTGAGTGGAGCTGCTGCTGATGATGGTGATGAGGAGGAGGAAGGAGGAGGATGAATAATCATCATCAGAACACTAGTGCAAGGATGATGATGATGATGATGATGATGATGATGATGATGATGATGATGATGATGATGATGATGATGATGATGATGATGATGATGATGATGATGATGACGAGGAGGAGGAGGAGGAGAAGGAGGAGGAGGAGGAGGATGGGGAGGTGGTGGAGGAGGCGGACAAGGAGGAGGAGGAGGAGGAGGTAGAAGGAGGAGGAGGACGACGAGGAGCAGGCGGAGGAGGAAAAGGAGAAGGAGAAGGATGACGAGGATGAGGAGCAGGAAAAAGCGGAGGACGAGGAGGGTTGTTATGGGGAAGAGCGGTGGAGGGGGGAAGTGAGCTCTTGGCGGAGTGAGGCGCATGATGATGATGATGATGATGATGATGATGATGATGATGATGATGATGATGATGATGATGATGATGATGATGAGGTGGAGGGAGAGGAGCAGACGGACGTAGAAGGATTGCGCGGCCTGCACTTTTTTTCGTCAGCGGCGAGGCGGCGAAATCCGCTTCAGTGAACAGCTAGGTAGGGGCATTAACTAGCGAATTGGCCGGCGTGCAAGGAGGGAGGGGGGAGGCCGACAGGAAGGAGGGACGCTCAGACGCCGAAGAATTCGACGATCAGCAGCTGGCGGGCAGCAGCAGCCAGGCGCGCAGGGCCAGAGCGCGGTGGGCGGCCGTGGCGAACAACGGTGGCGAGGGTGGCGGGGAGTGGCAGCCAGCCAGGGGCGGGGGGACCACAGGAGACACCACGAGCGTCGTACCGTGGCGCCCCGACGAGAACGCACAGCACGGAACCGTACGGGGGCGGGAGCAGCGAAGAGGCAGTGACAGGGGCACTGCAGCGTGACCGAGGCCAGGTGGCCAGAGGGCGGGGCAGGGCGGGAGGCAGCGGGCAGAGAGCGTCCCAGGCGCAGGCGGGCTGCGGGGCGGACAAAAGCGACGCGGGAGAGACGCGGGGCAAACGGAAGCGGCGACGCGACAGGACCGCCCAGCAGAGAGGACAGTGGCCGCCCAGGGCAGCCAGGGCGTCCAGCTGGCCCGCAGGAGCGGGGCGGAACAGCGCCGCAACAGGAAGAGGCGGCGCGGAACCGCCGCGGAAAGGGGCGCAGCGCCGACAGGTGCAGAGTCCCGGCAGCAAAGGAGGGCGGCACACGCGCGGGCCAGCGTGGTGCGCCGGAGGAGCACCGAAGTGGCGCAGGGGATTGTGAACGGGCGACACGCCTCCCACCTGGGAGGTGCGACGCGAGGAGGGGGCGGGGAGCATTGGGAGGTGCATAAGCCGGGTAGCGCCGCTGGGCGGCCCAGAAGGCGGAACAGCGCGGGGTAGCAGAGGAGCACCGAAGTGGCGCAGGGGACGGAGTGAGCGACGCGCGTCCCACACGGGAGGTGCGTCGCGAAGGGGCGGCGGTTGGGAACCGGGGAACACTAGGAGGCGCAGAAGCCGGGTAGCGAGGCTGGGCGGCCCAGAGGGCGGTGCAGCGTGGTGGAGCAGAGAAGCGCCGAAATGGCGCAGTGGCGGGGGGAGAGCGACGCGCGTCCCACATGGGAGGTGCGTCGCGAGAGGGCGGCGGCGGGGCGCGCCGCGAGGTGCTGAAGCCGGGTACCGAACGCAAGACCCGATGGGCGGTCCACCGGGGAGCGACTGGTAAGCGCCGAAATGGCGCAGGGGACCGAGAGTGAGCAACGCGCGTCCCGCCCGGGAGGTACGTCGCGGAGAGCGGCAAGGGGAGTGCCGAAGGATGCGACAGCCGGGTGACGACGCTGGGTGGCCCAGTGGACGGTGTAGCGGGGTGCCGCAGAGAAGCGCCGAAATGGCGCAGGGGACAGGATATGAGCGACCTGCGTCCCATCCGGGAGGCACGTTGCGAGGGGCACCGACATGGTGCAGGGGGCAGCATGTGCGCGACGCGCCTCCCATCCGGGAGGTACGTCGCAAGGAGGAGGGACGAGCAGGGAGAAGGGCCATGTGTGGAGTGGCGCAGTGCCCGCGGGCAGCACGGCCCACATAGGTGCCAAGTGCAGCGGGGAGCGGTGGCTGCGGCAGGTGCTTAGCGCCGTGGGCGGGCACCGGGGGCGTCGTCCCAGACCGTGTCAAAGCGGCGCTTGCCAGGCTTGTAACCAGTGTCGCGCCCTTTGCAATTCTCGGCGGCGTCGCGCTCCCGCGTCTCCTGCCTGTAAGTGTTCTCGGCCTGCTGGTTGCGCTAGACCTGATCCCAGTCCTCATGGATACCTTCCCGCCGCCAGTATTTCTTGATGTCGAAATTCCAGTGCCACAGATCGGCCATGCAATCTCGGCAAAAGTCCTCGCTGGCAAGTGGGTTGTATTTCCCTTGGCCGACGCCCTTGTTGTTAGCCTGTCGCATGCGCGCTTCCAACCTTCGACGCAGTAACAGCCAGCATCGGTCTGGAGACGCCTGACGACGGCGCCCCAGCTCTCTAGGCCGCCTCGGGTGTGCATGCGCTTGAACACGAAGCGGGTCCGCGGCAGGCGGTGCAACCTATCATCCAGGTCGAGCCAGGCTCGGTCAGCGTGGTCGTCGGGCCAGTCCGGGTCCCGTTTGCTGTCCATGGGCCTGTCGATTTCGCGCCTGGCGCTGGCTGCGGCCTGCCTTGCCTCTGCCACCCAGTCGGGGTCCTTGCCGCAGCCGTGAGCGGGGGCTCTGGATGCTGGCCCGTTGGGTGCTGCGCTTGGCCCGGGCCCGGCGGCGCGCGGTCGGGCCGGGGCGTGGTCGTCCCGAAGTAGGCCGAGAGCACGGCCAGTCTCGGTCCCGAAGAGCGCGTCCTGCTTGATGACCACGCGCGGTGCGCTGTGTCGGCGGCGTCCCAGACGACCGCCCAGGCCTGCCGCGCTCTCACGCTGAAGAGGCCAGACTCCCCGAGCAGGGTGGGGGCGTCGGGGTAGCGCACCTCTCGGATTGGGCCGGCGAGGGATCCTGGGTCAGTGGCGGGCATGAGCAGGGGGCCCTTCTCGCCGGGGCTGGTTGTCCACACCAATGGCGCGGCCGAGAGATCGTCGCGCGCCGTGGCGAAATCTCCGGGGGCCAGGTCCGGCACGCGGCCTGAGTGCGCCCTGAGCGGGAGGCCGGGGTCCAGTAGCGGGGTGCCTCTGCGGGCTGCGGCGTTGGCTTCGTCCCCGTTTTCAGACCAGTCCAGCTGATCCTTCACAGGTGCACCGTGCTCGGCCGGGCGGCGCGGCTCACCGGGTGCGGCATCGGTGAAGGCTGTCTCACTCTGGTTGCCACGAGCGCAGTGGCTGCGTTGCTGCTGTGGGCGAGGTCAGCCTCCCAGGCGGGTTTCTCTGGCGTCCTGCACGGCGCCGTCGCTGGACCCCCTTTCGCCTCCCTCTCCTATCGCGGGGGCCGCTGGGCGCGAGGCGTCTGCGCGAGGTGGGTG